TACTGCAAGCTGCTACCATGGAAACCAGCCCCCCAGCTTTCTCTGCTTATTTTGAAGTTTCCTGTTCCCCATATAACATGGACTTCAGCACTTTTACTTAATTGTTTCTAGATCAAATACAATTGGTGAAAGGTTTTGGTTCTTTGCTTCATGGTTTAAAGTCTCCAAGTATGCCTGCAGGTCCTAAAGAAAAACAAGGAGAAAGTAGTGATGGAGTCAATAGAAAGGAAGGAAAAGTGAAGAAAAATACTGGAGTCACGGTCTGTTTTACAATTCAACAAGATCAGAGCAGAGATACACTTGTTATTAAATCGTTCAAAGACCAGCTACAGTCCAACAGTGTCTCTTAGAGATGTGTCCTTTGAAATAATTTTAGCTTTTTGCCTCTCGATTTCTTACATCTCTGAAATTCAGTATACCTTATAGTGTCTACAGAGCTCCTCTCAAAGTCCAAACAAAATTCCAAGTATACTGCCGCTGGGGGAAAATCTTGAATCTTTTATCTTATATGATACAAAGAAAACCGATTGTTTATACGGCTACAGCCTTCAAAAGTAAAAAGAAGAGAATTTATAATGAGCTAAGCAACCGTTGAAGTTCTGCGTCCAAAAGCTGGTGAGACACTTGAAGAATGGCCCGGGGTCCAGCTCGGAGAGATGCGGGGACTCGGAAGACAGACAGGTAATGGGACCCGATGGCGCAGGTGCTTCGGAGATCCTTCTTCTTTCCCTCCGGAGTCTCCCCACTCCCGCCCTCCCGAAATCCTGGACTCAGGGCGGGGAAGGCTGTGCGTTTCTGCCACAGGTGAAACCTACCCAGCCTGGAGATCAGAGCTGGCACCTGTCCAGTTGCTGGGGCAGCCCCGGCTTTTTAACGTAGCGTTTCGAATAATCCAAGCTGACTTTTCCCAATTTGCGCTTGAGGGACTGGAGAAGCTGGGCGCAAGCGAAAGCAGACAGCAACATTCGCATCGCGCCCCTCCTCCCGCAGAGAGAGAGAGACGGAGAAATCATTTATTGTAGCGCGCACACACCATCAGGACTCTTTCCCACTCCATCTTCCGACTCCCGCCACCTTGCAGGGAAATCGCAGCTCCGGCCACACTGGCTTTCTCGATCTGCTTTCCGGATGAGTGAATTTCTTTGCTCCTCTCGCCTGTCGGGAACCATCTGAAACTGCCCCCAAGTCGCGTTCCCAGGGGCCCTCCCCACTCCGTTTCCACTCGGAAACCAAAGAGCAGCTCACTTCGGCATCCTCCAGAAGACAAACCGCATCCAATCATTCACCTGTGGGTGAACTTGAAGGAAAAGCAGAAACCCAGAGGTGGGCCGCCAGGAGAAGCGGGAGACGAGAGGAGTACGGTGCTGGGTAAACCAAACCCGGAAAAGAAAACCGGGTGAGGGACGAGGAGGACAGCTCTAGCCGACCTCGCCCCTCCTCGGCCCGGGTGGATCCCTGCGGGTGCCCACGGCGAGCCACGTGGAGAAGCCCCAAGGGAGACGCAAACCGCGCCCCCTCCCCCCCAGGGTTTTGGAAAAGAAACTGCTGGGAACAATGACCCCTGAAGGCCAGAGGGAGGTGGAGGGGGGTGAGGACCCTCGTCCTCCCCCCCCCCCCCTTTTGGACATTCCTTAGGTTTAATCATTAAAGTGGATCCTTTTTTAAAAGGAGGCAGCAGCTGAACAGTGCTGTTTCTGACAATCTGCCACACACTGTCAGTGAAGTGAAAGATCTGGACCGAGCTTGGTTGCCTCGCTACCAATAACGGACTTGGGGAGACCAAGCCTCCGATTTCTGGCTACATCAAAGCAGTGATTATGCAAATACCCATTTTTTTAAAAGAATAAAATGGAGGGGGAATTATTTATCAAACAATGAACCCCCTGCCAGGGCGGGAAACAATAGATCAGACTAGATAGCCCTTCTAGCCCCAGGCTGGGGGAGAGGGAAGGCGGCGGGGGGGGGGCGGGGGGTGGATGCTGGCGCCCTCACGTTTTATTGGTCTAACCTAATTTCACTAATTCTCTTTTCACACATTTTCTTTGGCGGATTCGGAGGCCAGGACTTTCACGCTCCCGGGAGCGCCCTGCATTGGCGCGATTCAAGGGCTGCCTGCTTTATTTAATTAATACATTCAAAGCTCGCCTGGGCCCGGAGAGCCTGAGGGTGGGGAAAGACCGAGGCCGGGCGTTGAGGAGGAGGCGCTTTTAACGGGTTCCAGGTGTCGACGCCCAGCAGTCACAGCCGGCCCAAGGCTATGCGATGCAGGGGGTGCAGGCGGTGGGCGGCAGCGGCTCGCAACTTCAGTCTCTCCAGCAGACCCGACCTTGCCGCAGCCGGGAGCCCAGGCGACCCAGACCCGAGGGTGGGCGCGGCAGAAGCGGGCCTCGGGCCTAGACATCCTCTACGGGAAACGGGACCCTTGCTCCTTCCCGGCCAAGGCCGCCCGGGGCCTTCAGACGCCCTCACCTCCACCGGGCCCTCGGGGGTCTCTTCCCGAAAGGGCGCCCACCCGGCTCCTGCCCAGGGGCACCCGGGTACTCCTCTGGCTCCTGCTTCGCCTGGCGGCGCTCCGTTTTTTCTTTTCCTCCTTGTTCGCCCGCAGATGAATGTATTTTAAATCTGGTGAAGGAAAATCAACCTTAAGTCCTGGGCACTTCAGAACAAGTAAATACAATCAATGCCTGAAGCCTGGCGGCGCCAAAGCGACGATCCACCCAGGGCAGGACCATCCTCACACTTCGCGCTTAGGTAAACGCGCCGCCGCCGCGCGCCGCTGGCTCTGGGAAGATCTGGCAACTGTAGCGGTGTGGGACTGTCATCAGAACAGTTCCACGGTCTTGCTTGAAACGTCTCTCAGCAGAGGGCTCCGGAAATAGAATGGCTTGGCTTAGCTTGCCCAGGAACCTACTTGGTGCAGATAAACCAGGCTGGTCACGGGGCAGGCACAATGGGGGAGGGACGAATGGATTAAATCGAGGAGCGACTATATTCCCTTCTGCTGAAGCTGCGACCTGTAGTTATTCTTACAGGGGAGGGAAGAGGACCTCTGGGCTTTAACCCACAGGCTGTGGAGCTTGCGGTGGGCTGGGAGGGAAAACTCCTAGTGCGAAGTGAGGAAGGAAGAAACGTTCTAATTAATCGCTAGAAGTGATTAGACGCCATAAAGAATAATTGCACCTATTTAGTGTAAAATAGGGCTTCCCTGGTGGCTCAGTGGTAAAGAATCTGCCTGCAATGCAGGAGACCCGATTTCGATCCCTGGGTTGGGAAGATCCCCTGCAGGAGGGAATGGCAACCCACTCCAGCACTCTTCCCTGGAGAATCCCATAGATGGAGGAGCCTGGTGGGATACAGTCCGTGGGGTCGCACAGAGTCGGACACGACCGGAGCGGCTAAATAGCAACAGCAGTGTAAAATAAGGTGTGTTGTAGATAGAGAAGGGAAAGCCTGAGTGTGGATCACAGGTGGTAGACGGAATTCCTCCCATATATGAGGTGCTTCTGTTGTGGAAGGAGGACCTGCAAACTCTGGCTGAACGAGACCCTGGCCCTGGAGTAGCTGTGCGGAGGCGGCTGCTAGATTCAACTGGGTCACAGGTTAAGTCATTAGCTGTATTACCATTAATCAAAACTGTGACTATTGAACCCTCTCTCGATCCATGCCTCTCCAAATAAGCCATTAGGGTCACCACCTAGTTATAGGATTCCCATCCCCCCTCCCCCCAGTCGAATTTTCCTGAGTACCTGCACCTGAAGTGTGGCCTCCCCAGACCTGTGTCCTGAACCTGTTTCTTGGCAAGTTCTCACAATAACCATCACCATCACTAAAAGAGCAGTGATCTGGCATTAAAACTGATGTTTTAGAATTCTCATACCACAATTGCTTGGCTTTTTAAACTCTAGAAACATAGAAGTGTAAGAGAAATATCTCTTTCTCCTTATTAGATAATCAAGAGTGGTTAACAATATAAAATCTTTAAGCTAGAAGGGGTTTTCCAACAAGTCTCCCTTACATCCAGAGATGAAATCCAAACAAATCTTGGGTTGGTTCTTTCTTTTATTAAAAATAGCTATTCCGTTATTAAACACAATATTTCTACATGAACAGAGAGGAGGAGTAATTAGGACATTTTAGAATGATCATGGGTTTAGTGGAGGATTTGCTTAAACCAGAAGCAGATATGAAATTCATGAGGCAGGGTAGGACTATGAACAACCAACATTTCTTTGCAGGCATGATTTTTTTTTTTTTGGCTTGTGAAGTCCTGGCCACCGTCCCCTAAGGGACTCAAACCTAGAATGTGGTCAACCTTCACTTGGTCATCTTTGACCCAAGGCCAGTCAAAGAACATTGATTTCTGCTTAGGACACTGAGCTGCAAGTTACAGAGTTATGTATCCTGGAGATTAGGAAACCATTTTTGCTTTCTTTCTGAAGATGTTTTGACTATGTAAACCATTTTAACAAAGACTGAACTGGCTAACATGAAGTCAGCTTCCAATAATGAATTTATTAAACGCTCTGTTATGTCACAGATATTAGAGATCACTGTCCAGTCCCTTTTGTTTACAGATAATAACTGAAGCTCAAAGAAGTGAAGTGTAAGAACCAAATTTCTACACACTCCGTCTAGATAGCTCAACTATACTATTTTTTAAAAGCAAAGTTTCTGAACTTTGGTGCTCATCATTAATTATAATTTAAATTCTCAAAACTTTTTTTTAAACTAATCTTGTTTGCTCAGAAATTGATTCCTTAAAAACCAAGCTTTTATTTGTATGGAGAGTTACACTTTTATGCCAATGTTAGTGTCTTGAATGTAATTCAGCTTCTTGTGATTGCTTAGACCTTATGTGTCAATGAAATCCACACACAAACATTGACAAAAAACAAAAACAAGTACTCTATTCAATTTGATATAGGGAGTTAAGAAAAAAATGAAACTTATTCTTCTAAAAGCCACCTAAACAGGAAAAGTAATAATGAAACACACAAAAATTATGAAAATTAGATACTTTATTTATAGTTTAATCACAAGAACAATTTTCTTGTTCTTTCAAGATGTAAATACATACTAGAATAAACTCTGTAGAATATACAAAAAATACATACTTTTCCCATGAAATTTTTCTTTATAATAAATAGAAGGAAACACGTGTGTGGCTGATCCTGATAATGCTCCGTGTCTGCTTAGGTTTTCAGTCTGTTGATTTATTTTTAATCTCTTGAAAGAATGGGGGAGTTTCTTCTCCCCTAAAAGGTCGAGATAAATAATTCATGAAGCAATCCTCCCTCCTGATTTTTCCGTTTTCCTCCACATTTTTCCTTTTGATAGAGAGTTCAGCCTAAATTTCCACGCTTGCATTCAATCATTACAAAGCCTACAAATTATACAATGACTTCTAACCTGGCCCTCTAACAAAACAACTTTTTCCCCCTTATAAATCATAAGAGACAGATGGCAAAATGGAGAAGAAAAAGGAAAGAAGAGCGGGACAATAGGCATTGTGACGAATCTGGGAAACAGAACAAAGTGCACATCAGAGAGGGAAAGTTTGGTTTGACAGGTGAAATTCCCACAGCCCGCAGGCAGCACTGGGAATAAAGCAGATGCCAGCCATTGCAAATCTGTGGATAATATTATTACCGGTAAAATCATTCAGATGCTAAGACACATTTCTTTCTACTCGACATTAACATCTCTATGCAGAAGCAAAGGTGAAGAGATCGCAGGAACCGGTTGCGTTCCCCCTGGGAGATTTCACAGGAATCGCACCGAGAGGGCGGGAACTTCAGTCCGCTCTACAAACTCTTCAGACGCGTCACCTTTATCTCTTCCCAGCATCTTTTTACCTTAAGTGCCTCCCCCCTCCCCACCCCAAACTCTAGAATCCTCTTTGACAATAAGCTCCATCACACCAATAAATTAGAGGGCCCGGCTGGACTAAGGAAGCCCTTAGCCAAGGAATGCAACAAATAACGAGTAGTGAGAACGGCTACACATGCTCAGAGCAGTGAGATGGTTTCCGGGGCATGGGAAGCGGGGGGCAGGAGGCGGGGGCAGGAAAGGGCGCCCACTAAGGCCTGGCGTGGGTAGGAGAGATGGCAGTTCTAGATACAGTCCCTGACTATGGGGAGGTGAGGTGCGTAGCGGTGCTTGTCTGGAGGTGGGGGCTGCCAATAGTCCATGTCTGAACCCTCCGGGCTGGCGGGAGATAAAGTGCAGCTGTAGGGGGAGGTGGAGTTGGAGGAGGCCGAGGAAGACTCCGCGGGGCTGTTTGTGCAGCTCCACGTGGAGGCGGGCGAAGGGCTGTCTCCGTTGTTGCTCAAGGCGGCGCCAGTGCCTCCCGGACTCAGCAGGACGGCCTCGGAGAAGAGCGCCCCGGGCAGGCCGCCGCCCCCACAGTGGTCAGCCAGGCGCAGGGTCTCGGTGAGCGCCCATATGTAGTTGTGGGCGAAACGCAGGGTCTCGATCTTGGTCAGCTTGGCGTCCTCCGGAAATGTGGGGAGCACCTCACGCAGCGCGTCCAGCGCCGCGTTGAGATTGTGCATGCGGTTGCGCTCGCGGTTGTTGGCCTTCAGTCTCCGGGTCTTCTTGATGCGCTGTACGGTCTCGGCCGTCTTGGCACCCCGAGAAACAGCCCTTGCCCTCGAAGGGCGCCGCTTGCACTCATGCACCACACCCAGCAGCCGCGCGGGCCGGCAGCCCTCGGCTCCTCCCGGCGAGCCGCCCAGCGCCGCGGGCGCGGCCTCTGCCCCGAGCTGCCGCCGCGCTCCGCCCGCCGCGCCCAGCTCCTCCTCTTCCTCCTCGTCAGCGCTGGAAGACAGAGGGGTCAGAGCCGCCGAGGCGGGGGAGGCCGAGCGCAGCAGCACCAGCACGTCCTCCTCCTCCTTTAACTCCAAGCTCTCGGATTTGACGAACATCCTGGAGAAGAGAGCAGAACGGGAGAAAGAACCAGGCCGGGTGTGAATATAGAAGCTGAGATAGGCTGTCAGCGTTAGCGGGACCACTGCTGCGCGCCCGAGAAGACCCGCTCGGAATCGCGCCAAGGAGGAAAGTAAGCTGGGGAGGAAACCCTGCCCGTGTTCTCCCAGCTCGCGGGCGCCCCTTGTTGCGACCCTGTCGCCAGCCAACTGGGTTCCGAACTCTGACACGCCCTGACAGTTGTGTTCTCTCCCGGGAAGGGACTGCGACCCCGCGACAAAAGATTCGTCGCGAGCGAAGGGCGTTCGGTTGTGGCGGGACGCCGTGCGGGAAACGCCCCTGAGTTGGAAGCCGCAGCGCGGGTACTTACTTGCTTCTCTCTCTGAACGTGCCCCGGCGTCGCTCTTCGGCGCGTGCTGCGATTCTCCGCGCAGCCGGGAGCTCAGCGCTGCTCCTTCTGCCGGCTTGGAGGCACCCGGCCTGGCGCAGCGGCGGCGCGGCTCCGCGGGGGACCTCTGCGACCGGCGACTTTGCCAAGAGCCCCGGCGGCCTCGGCGACCCGCCCGGGTCTCGTGTGTTGTGGTGGTGGTGCGTGTCTGTCTTGTCAGTCAGTCCCTGGACGCGCGGCTCCTGGCACGCGACTCCCAGGCACTCCAGTTAAAGCGAAGCTGCTTGTGGTTCAGTGGCTGCGTGTCTGGCACACGACTCTCCTTAAAACCCCTTATATACCACCAAGAAAACAATCAGATCTGCCCCCGGGGCCCCCAGCTCCCCCCACCCCAACCCTCGGCCGCCGCCTTCTCCTCCCCTCCCCTGTGCCGGCCCCCCTTCTCCCCCGCTTTTCCCTACCCGGCTAACTCTTTTCATTGCATTATCATCATTCATTTCTTTCTTTCTTCACCCACTTCCCCCCCTCCCCTGGCCCTGCCATCCATCCATCCTCCTCTTTCCATCGCCCCCCGCCTCTCTTTCCCCCCTTTATCTAATCAGCATAACATGGTTCTAAAGCTCCCGTTGGAGCTCGAGGCTGCGGTCGGACTGCTGGAGCGGCGGCAGCGGCTCAAGCTGCGGCTGTTGTCGCCGTCGCTGCCCATTGTGATTGGTGGCTCGCGCTCGGCTGGAGCGTGCCGCTAATTTATTAATGAATGGAGGTCGCGAGGCGCAGCTGGCCAATCAGGGCGCCCCGGACTCCGGGAGGCCTGCGAGCCACGCGCACAGGAGCCCGCTCCCTTTCAGCGGCTCATTAGGGGCCGGGGCGCTGGGGGCGGGTGGGGAGACCAAGGCGACCGCCCGGGTCCCAGTCCTCGCGGCCGCACCCCACCCCCGTCCCGACGCGCACGCGCCGCAAGGCACCCGGCGCAGTCTGGCCTCTGAGCTCCCGGACGTCGGGATCCGAGAAATTAGTTAATAGGGGTCAGAATCCCAGGAAAAGTAGGAAGCCCTCTGCTGCAGCCGGACGTCTCTTGGCAAAGCTTCTTAGGAACAGTATCAAATAGTAAAGTATTTCAAAACGCTTTCCTTTGGTTAAAGGAGGCATAGGGTATGGATGGCGAGCTGTGGTCACTTGGCGGGCAAGCATGTTTAGGTTCCAGAAAGTCTGACGCGGAAGGGTGAAGAGAGAGGAGGCTGGAGGATTCTTAGAGGCGTCTCCTGACAGGGAGCTCGAGTGGAGGAGCAGCTGATGGGCTTTTAGAGGAGGTGAAGCTGAAAGCACTCACATACTAGAGCTAAAAGGGGCCTCCTCATTTTACGTGTGCTTTTGCACCGTAGGGGATTTTGGTTTTCGGTGAAGGGTGGGGGGCGTTTGGGCTGACCCCTGTTTATGGTGGGGCGGGACCGCAAAGGGCTTCCTGCGTAGGTGGCAGCGGGAGGAGCGGCCAGCTCGTAGCTCAGCAGAGCGAATGGGCTGCGCTGACATTTCCATGACCTCTGCTCCGCGCTGGGGGGCGTTGTAGGGACATGGGGCCCGTCCTCCCGCTTCTCCCGGCTTTTCAATAGGAAAAAAGAGCTGGAGGGCTACTGGACCTCGGAGGGAACTTGTTCTGAATTGCTCAACAGCCCCCCCTCCCTCCTCCTCACGCCCACCCTCTTGTCCAAGTGGCTGACTTCTTAGAACCACAGGGCCCCGAAGTGTGTGCTGGGCCGAGTGTTAGATGGTGCATGAGTAGCGGGAATGGATCTGGCCTACAGTAGATTGCAGAGCAGTTTCTTTTGCAGATTAAGTTTCAGCAAGGCGCAATGGGAATGTTAAGATTTGAGAAGTGTTGAGAGAAAAAGAGTTGTCTGTGGTCTCTGTCTCATTCAGACTGTAGGAATTGGAAACAAGCTGTATTTCAGAGAAGGGGACTATGAAAGTGGGCATGGTTTTAATTTGTTTGATGTTTCCTTCAGGGAGATAATGAGCAGGCTTGGAAGGCATAAAGTAAAGAAAATGAAAATTAGAATCTCATGAAAGGGACTGCTACCCGCTGCAGCTATCCAACCTCAGACTTCTTTGTCTTGAAATTATTTGAAAATTGCCACAGTTTTCACCTTGCTGGTTGATACTTGTTCTTTGCGTCCCCCCCCCACCACACACACACACACACACACACACACACACACACACTTTAAAAACAAAGTCCCTAAACATAATAGCATTATTTCCCCAGTTCCCTCCTCAGTTCTTTTAGAACAGCTTAATTTCATATGGCAGAAGTGCAGATATTAAACAAAAAAGAAGGGAAATGTTTAGTCTCTTCAGAACACAGCATCTGCCTGTCCCACCCTTCTTTGGGTGTCTCTCTCTGTATCACGAACCTGCAGAATAAAAAACGCCATAGAAGAGTTTGTTCAAGAAAAAGATGCATCAATAGTGAAAGATACCAAAAGTGCTTACCTTGGTTGATGCATACTTTAGCATTATTTTATAGGATATGATCACTGAGGCCAAATAAGTAAATACTCTTTACAGTCCCCCTAAAAGAAAACTTTCTAATGTCTTGTCTAGTCAAAAATTGAAGGAACACATGGGAATGGATGCAGGATTTTTGTATTAATTTTGAAAGAAATAGGAGGAGAAAACTGGGTTCTGAGGAAATGATCAAAGACTGCTAAAAACAAATACTGGAATGATGGGAGATATTATGGAGTGTCAGCTTTTACATACCTACATCTCATGGCAGGAGTGGCCTGCAAAGAAAGACAAGCCAATAGGTTAATGTAATAGAAACAAAGGAAAGTTTACTTTAGTATCAGTAGAAACACACTTCTTAGACAGGTCTTAAATTTTTGGTCTGGCTAGGAAGTGCTGGGTTGATTTGATGATAAAATATATTAGGGTGAAAAACAGAATCAGAATCTAGTTAAGTGGTGGCTTAAAGGAAAACCTGATGAATTGTGTATAACTCCAAACAAACACCAAGATCAAGCTGGTTTTAATGTTTAGTGCTAGAAACACACAATGGATTTCTTTAGATGATTTTTAATACTATTTTGGTGTCTGACCACTGTTTTTATTTTCTTCCAAGATTTTATGTTTTTATGATGCACTGAAAGGGTACATGCTTTTCTTTGTTAAAACCCAAACTTCCTATACTGTCTGTAAGAAGTTAATTATGAATATTTAAGAGTATCCTGTGCAGATATTTAGTAACAGTAAAATATTATTAGGGTAAATTGCACATTTCTGATTCTGGAAATTTCCAGGAAAGGAGATTCTTTCCAAAAGGAAAAAATATGCAAAGAAACATAAGCTTGTGTACATATTTGAATGACAGAAACCAATCTCTAATCTATGTAGCTATAAAGAGATCATGGAGTTTATATAACTATTTTTAAAGTAAGGAGTTGGTTGGCTATATGCAGTGAGTGGTTTGTGTTAGATTACTGTGCAAAAGTTTTTTTTTTTAATTACCCGCTATATTATCTTCCAGCTTCCCGTGTAGCTCAGTAGTTTTAAAAAAATCTGCCTGCAATGAAGGAGACCTGGGTTCAATCCCTGGGGTGGCAAGATCCCCTGGCAAAGGAAATGGCAGCTCACTCCAGCATTCTTGCCTGAGGAATCCAATGGACAGAGGAGTTTGATGGGCTACAGTTCATGGGGCTGCAAAGAGTTGGACACGACTGAGTGACTAAACAATAACATTATTCTGTTTTTGCTTTGTAGCCTTCAAGAAAAGCATCACTGTTTGTTTTTTTTTTTTTTTTTTTTTAATTTGTTTGGCTGTGCTGAGTCTTAGTTGTAGCATGTGGGATCTAGTTCCCTGGTCAGGGATCGAACCTAGGGACTCTTCATTGGGAGCTTGGAGTCTTAGCCTCTAGACCACAGGGGAGGCCCCAAGAAAAGCATCACTGTTGATAATATTTCTGAAAATATTTCCTACTATGAAGAGTATTGTTTTTTAAAAGAAAAGAACATCAAGAACTATTAACACAGTAGTGCAATTCAGAAGTCAGCCATTCACACTCAGTCGCAAAATTTTATTTGTTCCACATTTTGCTTGGTTTTGCTGAAAGAAAGCAATTTCGATTTGTATTCAGATTTGCAAAGACGCGGCCAGTGCCAGATATCCTTAGCTGGGCCCTTCTAGCACTCTTTTAACTTAAATAAATTCAAGAGGCACTTGTGTGGTCTAAAAGATTGTCCAGATGAAACGAGGCTGAAATGTTATGCGAAGGGGGAGGGGAGCGCGTGAATAGCGTCAGTGAATTTGGTGACCGAGGGCCGCTCCTGTCCATTGCGTGAACTGTCCTAAAGGGTCAAACTGTTCATCTTCAGCCCCTCTTTCAGCGTGCAATCCCTACTTTAAGAGAACAAAAGCTCAAAGCAGGCAGTTATCAAGAAATGGGAGCCCAATGATTTAAACTCATCCCCAAGCCTTAAAAAGAAAGGAGGCCCGAGTATGTGTAGGGAGAGAAAAGTGAAGTAAGGGGAGCAGCGAGGGGGGTGGAGACCTTTAGAAAGTTTTTGTTGTTTTTAAGAAGCTTGAACTTTGAGACGACCCAAGAGCCCTGAAGTTTAGGGTAGGTGTTGCTGTGGGGCCAGAGACTGATCCCATCCACACTTCGACCTCACAAGTGGCCGAAGAGGACAAAGGGCCACCCCGCCACACTTCTGCTGCTGCAGGTGAATGTGGGGGGGTGGGTGTGAAGAAAGGTCCTGTCCCAGAAAGCACAAGAGCAGAAGTTTGCCTCCCGTCCCCAGGTTCACAGTAAACCGTCCTGCCTGCGAGGAAAGAGAGGGGCTCTGCTCTGCTAAAAAGGACTAGATGATGCGTCTGCCAAGGATGGCTTTGTAGCCTAAACCCTACTCCACCCGGTTAGCTCTCCGAAAGGCGGAAAGATGGACAGAAAAAGTTAGCCAATCCTGAATAGCTTTAGTTATTTGTTGGGGACTAGAAACACTCCGGTTTCCAGAGTGGGTGAAGACCGAGTGGAAACGATTAACCCCCTCCGCTTCCCCCGCCCTTCCCCGCGGAGGGCTCCTCGCCACGCCAGAGTTCATTACTAGTGATGAGCAGATGGTGAAGCGCTGGGAGGCAGAGTGGGCTCGGATTTTTGGGGGGTCCCCTTCTGTGGAGCCAAGGAGGTCGAGAACAATAACATTGTAAACCCATCACCCCCTCCCTCCCCGCCGTACTGGGCCCCTGTGCGGAATCCTGTCTCACCCTGGATCTCTCCCTCGGGTCCTGTGGGGGAGGGCTTGGCACCCTCGCCCGGCAGAGGTTGGAGCTGGGATGGTGTGCGGCAGCTTCACTGCGCCAGCCCCTCCCGCTTCCGTATTTGGGGATCGGCGGGGGGAATCTACAAGGGGGGGTGCAAGGCAGAGAAGGTCGTAACGCCCCTCTCTGGGGACCCTTATTCCCTTGCATTAAACCCGTATAATGTGCTTTGGCGCCATCCAGGGAATCCAGCTTGACGCACGAGGTCTCGATGGTGTTGAAACCCACCCGGCAGGTGCGAAAAGTCCCCCTTCCTTTTGCGCCCTCTCTGCCCTCTTCCCAGCAGCTCCGGAGAGGCAGCGCCCAGCAGGCGTCTCTGCACTCGGTAGGCAACCCGCTGCCCG